CAAAGATAGAATAGACTAGCTTAAACCTGAAGAATCCTCAGTCTTCTTATATACAATTTAAAATACAGTGGAATTTCAATTAACCAGAATATTTAGAGGAATGAAAATCATGAGAGACTTGATATGATTGTGTTTGAAAATTTAAAAGGAAAAACCCCTTATACTGGGTGCAATTGTGTAAATTTTTTATTAGTCATTTGATTCTACTCTCAGGCCAAATGAATTTTTTTTATCCTTTGATTGAAGTACTGTAGGGCTCAGATCATCAATTATTATTATCCAGAATTATGAAAATGATGACATTCCGAGGATCTATTATTGGAGCAGCTCAAACAAATTTTTTTAGTGAGTTTCATGTTGCTAAAAGGAAAAAGGTCAAGTATAACACAGCTGGGACAGAGCAACTGACAAGAAAGAATTGTGACTTACTGAAATGGGGAAAACTGGGAGAAACTCATTACAGTGGAAAAAAGGTGTGTGTTCATTTTGAGATGCTTATTTGCCACTTCAAAGGAGATTAGTAAGCAGTTTAAGTTACGGGTTTGTAATTGAAGCAAGAGTCAGATTTATGTTTAAATTATCCAAGCACTCTATAATCCCTATCTATAATCTAAGTGATCATATTCTGCAACTTTGGTGCAAAACTATACCAAGAACCTTTCTCCCTCTATATCATTTTCTTATTTATGTATAATGTATTAAGCAATCATAATGATACCCAGAATCTGCAATATGTCATGTAATCCCCAAAACAAATCCTAAATGAGAGATACCTTTTTAAAATCCTGCTTTTTAGATGAAAACACTGAGACATCGAGGTAGATTTGTGAATATCACACAGATAGTGAATTGTGTACTTGTTTAACTGCTTTTAGATACCCAAATTTAACCACAACACTTTTCTACCTTCCTCTGATGTTGTCGACGTCTTTAATGTGTTATTGTGTTTTTCCCAATCAGAAGGAAAAATAGGACATATACACACAACTTCTTATCAAAGCTTTTAATCAGTGCATCAAAAGTTAATAGTACTTCTATAGCCTCAGATGATTTGTCACTGACTACCTGTGGCTTCTTCAATCTAATGTTTTTCTTTAGTGTATTCATCTTGTATAGGTAACTCAGTAGAGAAAAATATTTGCTATTTACATATATCATGAGTACGCTGACATGAAACACAGTAATAGTAGTTGTAGGATCTTAGAGCTCATGATAATTGACAGAATATTAGGCAGAAACTAGGCTCCAATTACTATTGTGACATAAAGTTTGCTACACCTTTTCCATTCTTTATACTGTTTTCTGATACTAGAATTTTTAAATGCTAGATAAACGCTGTGTATAAATAATTTGATATTAAGCTATGCTTTTGCTTAGAATATCGAAGGTAAAGACAAAAATATATGCATTGTAGTTGTTATTTCTCCACAAGTAATAAGTTGACCTTAAGTTGAGCACTAAGTTTTTTTTTTTATATTCAAAGAGGACTAATTTACAAATCCATCATATATTACATTTATTTAAAATGAATTTCTATACTATCTTTTTAAAGCTACAGGCTCTTATAGTTTCAAAATCATATTCACATAAATAGTATGAATGATTGTATTGTTTTTCAGTTTCTACTCACCTGGAGCCCGATTAAGAGAACGTAAGTGGTTGACCCCAAATTGCATATTTTTGCAAGCAGCAGGGCTAAATTTGCATTGTGAGGTTGTAGATTATTTCAGATTTTAATGAACATAAGACTAGCCTATAGATCTTGTTAATATGAAGATTCTGATACATTAGGTCTGGAACTAAATCTAAAACATTACCAACATGCTCTCTATTGGCAATTATGTAGCTGGTCTGAAGGCCACTACTTCAGTAGCAAGAGACTAAATTGTCTAAATTCCACTATGTTGTTCATAGTGGAATTCAGGAGAAGCATTTAGTCTATTTGCATATATTGGTCATTTGTTCACTTACTTCCAGTTGACATCTTCTATGTTTGGAATTTTGTAGATAAGATGAATAAGTCATACCTCCTGGCTTTAAAATACATTCTAATTGAGAAAGTATACTTTTCTACAAACAAGTACAATATAATTCATACACATCTCATGTGAGGTAATTTGGAAAAGGAATTTTTTTCACGTCGCTACAAAAACACTTGTGAAGAACTCAAAAATGAAAATACATACACCATAAAACATGAGACATCCTTCTCACTATCATTCTCTGCAAGTGTAACTGCTTTTAATGGCGCAATGTGTATTATTACAGATTTAGAAAAGGTACATAGAAATAATATAATTTGTACATAAAAAGATCATACTATACATATTGTTCAAGTATTTTTGATTCAACATTGAACATCTTTAAGTTTTAAGGCTTACATAATTTTTCCAGTAAGGTATTAACATAATTTGTATAACTATTCCCTTATTGATATACAAGTATCTTCAAACTTTTTCATATTACAAATAGTGCTTCAGGAAAGAGACTTGCTCATATGCTCATGTACACTTTCTAGATTGGCAGTTTTACTATTGATAGGTAGTAATAAATTAACCTCCAAGGAAATGATAATTTAGTCTCTTTTCAACAGTATATATTGTCCTTTGTACCACCAACTCACTAATATTGCATGGCATTATTGTGTTTTAATCTTGCCAATCTGTAGCAAAGTAATAAATGTATAAATATTTAAAATATAAATAACTATGTACTAAATACAATATTCAAATATTTATCTAAATAAATGATTTTGTTAAATATTTATTTATATACTTGCATATATTTCGATGGCATTATATATTATATATCCTTATATAAATATTCTTTCTATTTACACCAGGGGTATACCCCAAAACCAGAATTTTTAAATAAAAATTGTGCATTTGTTCTTACATATTTAAATTTCAGTCACCCTCAAAGTACTCTCTAGTGCATTATACTTACTTTGAGCTGATTAAAGCTTATTACATCATGTTTTCTTTAGGAATAGCTCATTTAAAATAGTTTAATGTGGTCATGTCTTTATGACAAAAAAAATAGCAGCAATAGAATGCATCTTTTTTTCTTTATAGAGAAACTGCATGACTGCTATATTTTAAGCAGGCTATAACGTTATTAGAAAATAAATTGATATGTAAATACAGTTAATTATTTTGATTCCACTTTAATTGATTTCTATTTAGCCAAATGATTTGTTGTATTGGTCTCTGTTTCTTGTTATGTAAAGGAAAAAAATTACTTTGTGTTCTTCAATACTTTGAAATAATGATTGTATAAATAGCATTGTATATAACTTGATAGCTATTTGTGTGGCCCATGTTTAAAACACTTACTATCTCTGGAGGAGTGTGAATTTTCCTTATTACTCAAAACTCTGCTTACTGAATTGCAACTGTAGGTTCATAATCTCCTTTAACATCAGCTATAGATATTGAGATCATATTTTGTGTTCTATTCATCTTATTTTGTTGTTCATACAAATCTATGTATTTTTATTATTTTTGTATTGACTTTTTGTTATCTGCTTGGGAAGCCATGAAAACACTCTGGTGACAGTTCATACAAAACCTTATTGTTACATTTTTTTCCTTCTAAAATTATTTGCATTTTTATTTTTAAACTCAATGAAGTTTTATTGCCTGTACTCTGACAGGTACTCTGATAGTGACTGGTTAACTAACTGCTGTTTCAGGATAGAAGGACAGAACTACAGGACTCTAAATTTGGGTTTCTGAAGCATTACTTTCTACAACAAAATTACCCTAGCAGGGTAGTGAGATGTAAGAAAGTTTTGAGCAATTACATTATTGGGCCAGTGGCATTCAAGATAAAGTGAATGACTTTGTAAGTAAAGAAGTTCAAAAAACCATTGCTTATTTAGTAGGCTCATGTTGAGTGGCATAATAATTATAAATATATTTAAAACTAATGGTTTTATGAGTTAAAGTCATTTACTCACCCTTTAGCTACCTTAACAATCTTATGAAGTAACTATAACATATTCATTTTACAAATGAAGAAGGCTCAGCATTGAAGTAATTTTCCCAGCTAGAAAAGTAGTGGAGCCCAGGTTAAAGCTCAGAACCCAGAGCAAAGATGCCTATAATCACTATGCTGCCTCCTAAAAATTGAAGGAGAAAAACAAAAACACAGGTATACATAGAAACCCAACCCCCCACACACACACCTTTTCTTTTAGATATCCCATGAGGTATCAAGTATTTATGCACTAAAACCTAGACAATAAAGCCTAAGGATTAAGATGATTACAAATTGAGTGGATTAACGACAACTACCTTATGCATGACCTGGGAATACATTACTCAACCATTCTGCCCTTTTTTTACACATCCATGAAATAGTAATAATAACAGTACCCTACAAATATGGTTAAGATTAAAGATTAACTGGCATAGTACATTTTAACTATACAAAATGTTGTCTGGCATATGGCAAATGCTAAAAACTGGTAACAATTATTATTAAATATTTGTGGATTGCTACTAACATGAAGAAGTTATTAAGTTTCTATAATTGTCATGAATAACTTGCACTAAAAATAATCTAGTGTTATAAGAGCTATAGAAAATAGAAACTAACAGAAACACTGAATAACATACTGTGTATGCTCTTTAATCCTTGAATTTAAGCCACTCATCAAAATCACAGCTTCCAAGGAACCATTCAGAAACCAATGCAATGTCCTGACCCATAAACATATTTTCTAAGTTCCATACAAAGTACCCAAATTGTCTTCATGCCATTCAGAGCTTCTAAATAAGGATGTCTAACAAGTCTAGATGGACCTCTTTCTAAAACTACTGGCAAAGTCCTGGTGACCGTGTAGTCTACTACTGAATAGACTTGGAGCTTTGTAAAAAAACTTTTCAAATTGCTATGGTTAAAATATAAAAATAAATTTACTTATTAAAAATATATTCTCGACGCAGAAGCGGAGAGCCGGGAGCACCGAGAGGAGGGCTCGCTTGCTGGGGCCGCCCGGGAGGCTCTACATCGCGGGCGCTGGGGCCGCCATCTTAGAGTAAGAGGAGAAGGCGTGAGGCGGGAAGGCTTTTCTTTCGCTCTCTGTGGGCCCCGGAAAAGGCAGCTGGCCGGGCTTTGGGGCATGTGCCCTGAGGTGCGGAGCGCGAGTATTATGATGCAGGGGTTGCCCGGGACTCCGTCCCCTGGGTTGGGGATGCACCGAATGTGACAGCCTCCCACTCCCTCACCCGCCCCTGGGAAGAGGAGCAGATGAGACGCAGCTGCCAGACAACAGGGCACTGGGGCGGCCCGGCTCTCTCAGATTTAAGTATTGTTTAAGCTGCATCAATGGAGCACATACTGGGGACTTGGAAGACGATCAGCAATGGGTTTGGATTCAAAGATGCGGTGTTTGATGGCTCCAGCTACATTTCCCCTACAATAGTTCAGCAATTTGGCTATCAGCACCGGGCGTCAGATAATGGCAAACTCACAGATTCTTCTAAGACAAGCAACACTATTCGTGTTTTCTTGCCGAACAAGCAAAGAACAGTGGTTAATGTGAGAAATGGAATGAGCTTTCATGACAGTGTTCAGACTTCATGAACACAAAGGTAAAAAAGCACGTTTAGATTGGAATACCGATGCTGCTTCTTTGATTGGAGAAGAACTTCAAGTAGATTTCCTGGATCATGTTCCCCTAACAACACACAATTTTGCTCGAAAGACGTTCCTGAAGCTTGCCTTCTGTGACATATGTCAGAAATTCCTGCTCAACGGATTTCGATGACAGACTGTGGCTACAAATTTCATGAGCACTGTAGCACCAAAGTACCTACTATGTGTGTGAACTGGAGTAATATCAGACAACTCTTATTGTTTCCAAATTCACTATTGGTGATAGTGGGGTCCCAAGCACTACTTCTTAGACAATGTGTCGTATGCAAGAGTCTGTTTCCCGGATACCTGTTAGTTCCCAGCACAGATATTCTACATCTCATGCCTTCACATTCAACACCTCCAGCCCCTCCTCTGAAGGTTCCCTCTCCCAGAAGCAGAGGTCTACGTCCACACCTAATGTCCACATGGTCAGCACCACCCTACTTGTGGACAGCAGGATGATTGAGGATATAATTCGAAGTCACAGCAAATCAGCCTCATCTTCTGCCCTGTCCAGCAGCCCCAACAATCTGAGCCCACTGGGTTGGTCACAGTCCAAAACCCCTATGCCAGCACAAAGAGAGCAGGCACCAGGATCCAGGACCCAGGAGAAAAATAAAATTAGGCCTCGTGGACAAAGAGATTCAAGCTATTACTGGGAAATAGAAGCTAGTGAAGTGATGCTCTCCACTCGGATTGGGTCAGGCTCCTTTGGGACTGTTTATAAGGGCAAGTGGCATGGAGATGTTGCTGTGACGATCCTAAAGGTTGTCGACCCAACCCCAGAGCAGTTCCAGGCCTTCAGGAATGAGGTGGCTGTCCTGCGCAAAACACGGCATGTGAACATTCTCCTCTTCATGGGGTACATGACAAAGGACAACCTGGCGATTGTGACCCAGTGGTGCGAGGGCAGCTGCCTCTACAAACACCTGCATGTCCAGGAGACCAAGTTTCAGATGTTCCAGTTAATTGACATTGCCCGGCAGATGACTTAGGGGATGGACTATTTGCATGCAAAGAATATCATTCACAGAGACATGAAGTCCAACAATATATTTCTCCATGAAGGCCTAACGGTAAAAATTGGAGATTTTGGTTTGGCAACCGTCAAGTCACGCTAGAGTGACTCTCAGCAGGTTGAACAGCCCACCAGATCCATCTTGTGGATGGCCCCAGAGGTGATCCGAATGCAGAATAACAACCCGTTCAGGTACAGTACGATGTCTACTATGGCATTGTACTGTACAAGCTGATGACGGGGGAACTCCCTTACTCCCACATCAATAACTGAGACCAGATCATCTTCATGGTGGGCCGAGGGTATGCCTCCCCAGATCTTAGTAAGCTATACAAGAACTGCCCCAAAGCAATGAAGAGGCTGGTAGCCGACTGTGTGAAGAAAGTGAAGGAAAAGAGTCTTTTCCCCCAGATCCTGTCTTCCATTGAGCTGTTCCAGCACTCCCTGCCAAAGATAACCGGAGCGTCTCTGAGCCATCCCTGCATCGGGTGGCCCACACTGAGGATATCAATGCTTGCACGCTGACCACGTCCCCAAGACTGCCTGTCTTTTAGTTGACTCCGCACCTGCACTCAGGCCATCAGGGGAGGAAGAGAAGTCAGCAGGCACCACTTTTCTACAGGGGCAGAATGCATGTTTTCAGAGAAGCTGCTAAGGACCTTCTAGACTGCTCACAGGGCCTTAACTTCACGTTGCCTTCTTTTCTACCCTTGGGCCTGGGAGAAGGAAGCCATTCATGATGCTGGTCAGTCCTGCTCCCTCCCCTCATCCCCCATGCACAGGGCCCTGCCTTCTCCAGAGGCACAATTGGATGCTGATGGTGATACAAAAGCTTGGGCCCCAGGTGCTGGCTGGGTGAGTATTTTTAGGGAAGGAAATGTAGCAGGCAGTCCAGCCCTGAAGTGGGACACGTGGGACTTTGGAAGTCAGCTTAGGGGGAATGCTTATTACAGGAGGGACTTTCCTTCAGTTAGTGGTGCAGCGCCAGACATTTGCACAGAATGCACCAAACAGCCCAGGACTGCCAAGACTCCGGCTGCCCAAAGGAGCCTGCTTTGGTACTGTGGAACTTTACTTAGGGGACGTGGCCTCTTTTCACAGCCTCTGAGGTGTCATTATATTGGGATAGTTTTCCAGCAAGGTGCTTGGCCTGCCCTCCCCGTCTTGGCCTTCTCGGGGAGCAGTCTTCCATCGTGCTGAATCTCATCTTCCAAGAGCTGCCCTCATGGGGCGGGGCCGCCGGACCAGCCTTGTTTCTAGGCACGTCATGTGTATGCAAGGAACCCAGGAACACAGGTTTTCTTGATGATTTGGGTTTTAATTTTGTTTTTATTGCACCTGACAAAATACAGTCATCTGATGGCTCCTCAATTGTTATTTTAATAAAATAAATTAAATTTAAAAATATAAATATATATTCTCTATGTGACCAATCTCTCCTTTCTTATAAAATTTTTTATAAAGACATTTATTCCTAAACAAGAAAACCCTCAATTATTGCTGCTGTTCTTTTGTTAAATGTATGTTCATCAGTTGACACTGGTTTTTAAATGAAAATTCAACAGCTCATCCTTTCCTAATTAATGAAACTATTTCCTATAAGGTCAGTGTTCGAAAAATGTACTGACAAGAATTGGAACTAGAACAGTGATCAAAGGATCATTTTAAACAACTTTCTGTCTAGAGCAATTGCTTTTATGTAAAATTGTCTGTATTAATTTAGTTGTAAACATAAACTAGAATTTACCATATCTTGTAGATTCTCTCCGTAACTATGGTAACATGCATCAGATGCAAAGGATAGATAAAAAGTATTAGAACATGATCATCTGGAGACAAAGAAGAAAATATGATTAAAATTTATGAACTCATGAAATAAAAATAGTGTCAAACATGTTTACAAAGTATGTTAGAAAATTAGGAGTATCTATAGGAATTAAGAGAGATCCTATTTTTGCTTGAGATAGAAAAAGAAAATTTATTATATTACATATATATGCACACAAAATATTATATATATTGCACTACAACTTAGATTGTCAAAGAATTTTAGCAGCCACAACTGATCTATAGTCTTCATCCTACTGTGTTGTGGATAGTTTTGTGGGAAAGAATTATTTCTGTCAAATAAAAGCAGCCAAGTCCATTTCACATTAATAATAGGTAACATAGCTCCTACTATGTACCAGGCAGTATTCTAAATGCTTTACATAAATAATTCATTTAATTCTCACAGCAACCTTAGGAGGAAAGTATTATCATCCCCTTTCAAAGATAAAGAAATTGGATAACATTTGAGTGATTTTTTTCCCATGTTCACATATGAACATGAAGAACTGGCCATGTTAGGCTTTTCTTTGGACTAAATGCTAACAATTTCAGGACTGTGTCCTTTTAGTTTTGCTTCTGGGTATCAGAATGTCATCAGCTACTGAAGTACATAAAGAATGAATACCAAGGTTTGTTCTGCTGCTATTTCTAGGCAGGCTTATTTCATTTGCAGGTGTTACCTTGCTGATGTTGCAATCTTATGGCACCGGTACCCAACTCCGTATCCTCTCCACAGTGTCAGTACCATGGGGGCTACAGAAACATATCTAACACCCCACTTTTCCACTAACAAGATATACACCTCAAAGTTTTCTCATGGAGCAATGTTGTCCTATTGAATAACTTCTTAAAGGGGATAGAGAGAAGAAGGAGCGGAAATTTTTGTTTATAGAACCAACATTATCTTCATGGAAAAATCAAAGAGATCTTCACTTTTCTCTTTCATTTATCCTACTTTCTGTATTATTATCCACAGTTCTCTTTCAGGAAGTATGGGTGCCATCAATACTTTCCTTCCCTGTCTGTGACGAGTTTCTTTAAAATCTTATATTTTTTCTTCACAAGGTTGCATTTAACCTTTTTTCTTCCCATTGGCAATAATGTAAAAATAATGATACTGAAAAAAGAAGCACATTGGGAGTTATTTCAAAAAATTATCCGCATAATATTTATGTATACACAACTAACATTGTAAGTAAATGAAAATTTTTACTATTGTTACTACATTAAAGTGTGGGATTATGAGAAGAGGAGGATATTTACTTGTCTTTATAAATCTCTGCATAGTTTTTCACTTGTTAAAAGTGTGTATAACTTTAGTAATTTTTAAAAAATAAAAATTATTTTAAAAAAGAAAGAAGCCAAAGTTAGGGAATAATTTATTGAATCAAATATACAAACAAAAGTACTACTTAAAATGGCAAGTAACAAACTTTCAGAATTTCCAGGAAGGGAAATACAGAAATAAAATACAATTTATGAAAATAAATAATTTTTCATGTAGTCATGGATAAACAGAAATGTAATGAGATATGAAAGAACTATGGAGCAGACCTAACTTTGAAATTTATAAACCTCTGTTGAAGTTATTATCAATGATAATCACTTAAATTTAAAAAAATTAAAACTATCAGTTGAGTTTAGATGGTGTTTCTTAGTTTCATAAATGAGCTTTCTATTTCTCATTCAGAAAATTTCTAGTGCCAATTGTGAAATTTACTTTCAGATGATTGACAATGTGAAGAAAAATGTCCAAAAGCTATAGTACAATAGGCACCTGAGATAGAACAGGCATTGCTGTAGAAGCAAAATGAGAAAGTATTGTATGTTGGCCCCAATGTGAAGAAAGCATTTCAAGAAAGTGATAAAATATGTCACATGTTTCTGATAGTTCAAGAGTTTTCTCAGATCAAAATATCTAGTGATGAGAACTTCATCTTGATTTTTAAATCAAGCAGAATATCATCAAGCGAACATTCAGAGAAAAATAAATCAACCAAGCAGGTTAAACTAAAATCACAAAAGGAAACAATCTGCTCTATCTGCTTAGCCTACAGGTTGATGACAACTTGAAAAATAAAATAGTTGAAGACATACCAGCTCAGCTAGCTCATGAAATCATAGGATTGGTCTCATCAAAGCAAATCAACTTTTGGTATGTGTTGTCATTGATACGAGCCTTGAAGAGAGTGTGAATAGAGCCCTGTAATTTTTGCAACAGAGTTCACACTATATATGACGTTCTTGTGCCACAAAGACACATATAAGGCATTTAAAATTAACCAATAGTTCACAGGCTTTAGATCCAGTATGTTTTCATAATAAGCTGTAACTTTATCTTCTATCTATACAGAGACAGCCAATACGTGTTTCAATAAAGATCAAGAGCACTTGGTTAAAAAAATATTGTGAAGAAGAAAGGAAGAAAAGACAGTAAAGAAAATGAAGAAGTAGTAAGAGAAGAAGGAGGAGAAAAAGGGGAATGAGAAGGGAGAGGAAGGGGAGAGGGAGAATGAGGAGGTGGAAAAATGGTAAGGGGAAGAGGAGGAGAAATAAAATGATACAGACAAAAAAATGTAAAAAAACAGATCAATCAACAAGTTTTTTACGAACACTTGGCCAATTTCAATTTAAATAAATATCATAGATTATTGAGGTAACCTGTATCTCACTTGAATTTATTATGAAGAGCAAACAGGTTAATCATTAATTTTACAAAAGAGAAAAATATATAATAAATAAATGTTCAAATAGATGGAAAAAACACATCAACAGAAACTAAGCCAGTAGAACTTCCTATTTAATTTTGGAAAAAATTAAGATAAAAGGAACAATATGACATTTTCAATTGAGGACTAAACTCTGACCTTCCTGGGGAATCATGTCTTACAAAGACTAATCAGATAGGGTTTTTTATTTATGTTAATTTTTTTATTTTAGAGTTGTGGTATACATGTGAAGATTTACTACATAAATAGGTTGTATTCAGGTGCAGTTTGGACTACAAGCTGGTCCTTTCCTCCTGATAGTGGTCCAAGTATCCAGTGTGTTGCCACTTGCTCCTTTCCTTCTCTCTCTCCCTCCCCTAGCAATGACCAGCATCTGCTGGTCACACAGATTTTTTTTTTTATTAACCCAATATAATGAAGTTTGCTTTCATACATGACTCTGACACATCACACAACAGATAAAGAAAGAAATTAATTATGATCCTCTTGGAAACTCCCGGACCCAGGGCACCTTTTAAGATGCTTACCATCTATTCTCTGAAGTCTGCCACCTATGAAACTTCATCTACATATCAAGAAATAACTCCCTCATCATTACTCAAGTTGCTCCATCTCTATAGTACTTCTTTTACTGAATTCAAAATTCTCTAGACAGAGCAAATATTTGAATTCACCTACGACTTGCAAACTCCTGCTCAGAGGTGTTCCACCTTCCTAAGACAAACCAATGTAAACCTCCCATGTATTGATTTATGGTTTCTTGTAACTTCTGTTTGCCTAAAATATATGTAACCAATCTATAATTCAACCACCTCAGGCACATGATTTCAGGACCTTTGGGACAGGTGTCATGGACATAAGTCACTCATATTTGGCTCGGAATAAGCCATCTTAAATATTTTACAGAGTTTGGCATCTTTTGTAAACACAATAACAAACAAAAGTTTGTACAGCCAATTTCCATGTTTTAGCTCATTCATTATTATCATCCAGTA